TGGGGTGCTGAGAATGGAACTCAGATCCCCTGGAAGAGAAGCAAATGTTTTTTTTTAACCCCAAGACATCTCTCCAGACCATAATTATCTTAAAAATAGAAGAACAAAAGCAAAATTTTGTCTATCATTACTGTGTGCCTGAGCGGGCAAAGAGCCACAACTGGGAAGTGGCTCAGAAGATGGCTCTGTGGGGTTGGTTCCGTCCTGTTTTTACATTGGTTCCTGGAGAGAACTCAGTCTCTCGTCTTGCACGGCAAGAGCCTTCACCCACTTAGCCATGGTGCCATCCCAGAGCAAAAGTCTTTACAAAGTGTAAGTTGAAGCAACACTCAGATGATGTGGGTCTTCTCTTAGTGATTAATTTAACTAAGACAACCCCCTGCCAGACATGCCCACAGGTCACCCCCATGTTCCTGGTCTGTCATTGAGAGTCTCTTTCAGGTGATTCTTTTTTCTTTCTTTTCTCTTATTTTCTTTTCTTTTCTTTTCTTTTCTTTTCTTTTCTTTTCTTTTCTTTTCCTTTCCTTCCCTTCCCTTTCCTTTCCTTTTCTTCCTTCCTTCCTTCCTTTCCTTCTCCTCCTCCTCCTCCTCCTCCTTCTTCTTTTCTTCTTCTTTTTTGAAACAGAGTTTCTTTGTAGCTTTGGAGCCTGTCTTGGAACTCACTCTGTAGACCAGGCTGACCTCACACTTACAGAGCTCCTCCTGCCTCTGCCTCCCTAGTGTTGGGATAAATCGCTTGTGCCACCACCGCCCAGCTTCTTCCAGGTGTTTCTGAGTTGTGACAAGCTGACATTTGAAGGTGACTGTCACATGAGCCTGCCGAGCCTTTTTTCTTCTCACCATTATTTGTGGGAATTGCAGCCCCGAGTTACATTTCCCTGCCCCCATTTGAGGTGCTTATCTGCAAAGAAAACATAACTTCCCTCTGCTCCTGGAGTTGGGTAAGGAAGTTTGAGTGCACGTGATCATTCCTTGATCCCTGCTTGGGTCAGGTGACAGTCCCTACTGGGGTCAGGTGACAGTCCCTTCACAGCGCCCCCCTCATTTGGTGCCGTGGTATAAAAGCTAGCCCCAGCAGAACAATAAAGAAGCTGTTCCACCTCAACCTCGTGCTCTGTGGATTCATTCAACCTGGACACCCTCCGCCGAGACTCTTGGTTCCAGCCCGCACGGGCGCGGCAATTATTGAATGTTTCAATTCCTAGTAAATAGTTATAAAGCATAGATGAGGGGAACACTGTGTTTTAAGAGATACAAAGTCTGGGAGACATCTGAGCAATCAAGTGAGATAGCACAACACTGACAGAAGAGACAGGAAGTTGGATGGTTCCAGCAGGCAGCAGGGAGCCACAGCAAGGCAAGGCGGCCAGGGAGCACTGCAAACTTACCAACACAATTTCAAATTTGAAGAACAAAAAGAAAATACTGAACAACTATTTAATGGAGGACAGAGAAGCAGAATTTGTGAGAAAGAGAGGTTTAAGGTCCTTACCTTTAAGACATTACATGGAGAGAGGAGACACTGGATACACCAGGATATCAAAAATGTTAATAAAGGTCTTGTTTAGATGATGCAGTGCTAATTATGTATCATAGGAGATTGGTGAGGGCATAGAAGTATGGGTGTGCATTTTTAAAAGAACACTAAAGAAAAAGAAAGAAAAAGAAAAATCAGGAGCATAACAGCAAAATTTGATCCAAATATATAAAACCCAAAATAAAAATAAATGTAAATGAATTAATCTATTTTTTTCCAAACAGCAGATTCAGTCTGGGCGGATTCACTTCTTGTGCATTCTGGGATACCCCTGTGGCTTCCTTTTCTTCTCTGTTGACGTAGGCAGAGGTCACATTTCATGGAAAGACCGACTGCATGTATGTAGTCTGGAGGTGAGGTATCACTTGGCATATCTTTGGAGTCTGACCAGATTCTGGAATTAACTTCTCTTTGCTTCCAGGAGCAGTAACAGTAGGAAAGTTGTCTCCCACAGGTCTATTCGAATCTAGAAAACAAAGTAAGATGGGTCAGCTCCTATGCAGAGTGGTGGTGGAGATGGCAAGCCACAGGCTGAAAGGCTAGATCACTCACATGGTTGGGTGGCTCTATTAAGGGTGCTGATAACTGAATCAATGGTCACATACAGAGAGGTTTTCATAGACTCTCTCCTACTTCAAGGTCTTGCTTGGCATAGGCATAGTGGCTGTTTCCAGACAGTGGAGACATCAGAGGTGTGCTCCTAGGTGTTCAGACACATTTCTGACGGTTACTGATGACGCAGTCTGAACACAGTATGTAAACCTGATACACACCGAAAGGATACAGCCCTCTTTCACGGGTGCAGTCCTGGCACCAGTCTCAGCACTGGCAGATAAGGCAGTTGAGTTGACGGCCATTGGAGTAGGGGCAATAACACTCAAGGAGCTACTACTGCTTGCTGGAGACAGCTGTTGACAGGTGAGCCCTCTGCTCCACAGTCAGCTTTAGGGGGCAGAACAAAGAGGGGGTTCTGTCTATGACACAAGTCCACCATGCCTGTGGGATTAGAGAGGGAAGAATTGGACTCACGTCACTGTCACAGCAGAAAATATTTCCATTGACCCAAAGGCCTGATGAGGTTTCAGTCCAGGACCCAGAGTCCAGGGACTCTATGTTAACTTTCTCTAGGGACATGTACTGTGTCCTTTGGATAGCAAAGGTCAGACAAGGTCATTAATATTACAAAAAGGTAAACATGGAGATGACATCCTAGGTGAGGCACTGCTCCACCAAGGCAACTGTGGTGTGGCTGGAGGGAGGGAGCCAGGGCTCCTTAGGAGTTCCTATGACAACCCTGCTGCATGACCGCCAGGTGCTCACATTCCACTCTAGAAATATGCATTCTGTTTTCTCATCTTGCCTTCTCTGAACAGGCGCCTCTCTCCTCGGGGGCCCTCAGCTCACCCCAGCGCTGTGAAACAAGATCTGCTCCTCGTCCCTCTCCCACCACCCTGTTTTCCGGATCACTAGACCTTATCAACTGAAGATGCCCATCATCAGGTCTGCTCTGACTCCCACGAAGTCGACAGAACTCCGTTCCGTGCTCCTGCATGAACGTGTCCTTAGACGATGATGATGGTTAGCTTTGCAAAGATCATCACTTGTGTGGGAGATGGGAGAGCTCAGGAGCGCAATAGCCAGCCAGGCGATCGAATGAACACTATGCAGAGTCCAGGATTGAGCTGCCTGTACGAGCGTCAAGGGCTGCTGTCATGAAGACTCTTACAGACTCCAGGGAATATCGTGATGGATGATTTGAGGGACCACTTTAGAGTTGTCAGAGAGGCGAGAGGGTTTTGACATGTACTGCACACTGTAGGGAGCATAGTGAACATTTCTGGTCCTGGTAGACATCGAAGGGCGTCACTATCATGGATGTTGGGGGCTGGAGAGATAGTGCAGTGGTTAAGAGCCTGTACTAATCTTTCTGGCGACTGGAATTTGGTTCCCAATACCCACATTGGGCAGTTCACAGCTGCCTGTAACTCCAGCTCCAGGGGACTCTCACTGTCTTCTGGACATTCTACAAGCACTGTATTCATGTACACAAGCTCCCACGAGAGGTGTATATAAACACATAGTTGAAAATTAATAATGGAGAGAGCACAGGTGCTGGTTCTGTGTGAGCCAGAGGTGGAGCCTCTGGGCTTCAGTTTCTGTATCTGTGAAATGGGGACAAAGAAAGCACCTTTGTCCTGGACACTGCAAGGGTCAATAATCATAAAGCTTGCTAGCCACTGTGACAGCCACTGTGGCTGTCACCACCAATGATTGTAACCCCATGGGGGCGGGGAGAATCAAAGAGGTCATCTTAGCCCACCATTCTCATTGCCAAGATGGGAAAATCTAGGTGTTCTAAGTGTCCGACCTCAGGGTGTGGCCAGCTGAGATGGAATGTGAACCCCAGACTCCACATTCCCTGCTGGTTACTCTTCTGTGTCAAGATTAGGAAGTTGTGACCCTTTATCTAAACAAAATTGGGTCTGAAAGCATCTAATATGTAACCATATTGTTCCCAGAAACCAAGATCAATAATTGTGAACTGTAGCAAAATGCCACAAGAAAGTAGATTCCACAGTTCCAACCACAGCCCTGGGAGCGCCTGGCTTTCACTGCCCAGCATGGTGAGGGCTGGGAAAGATGTCATTGGGCTTCCCCTCATCCCTCAGACACTTAGGGAAAGGAAAGGATGACAGCTGAGGTCAAACCAGGACTGCAAATGTGCTTTGAAATGTTCTGTTTGTAGACTTCTGTGCTCTGGCATGTTCTGTTTGTAGACTGTTCTGAAACTTTTGTGTGTTTAAGTTCATTCTTCCCGTGGTAGCACTTTGTAGGCAGGTTGTATTGTTAAACCCATTCCAGATGGGATATCAAGATGTGGAGATTTTATTTAGGAGGTCTGACCATGCAGGAAAAGGGAACTGGGATAGTGCCTGGCATCTTGAGTTTGGTCTTTCACCTTTAGTTAGAAGTGGTGGAACTCTGGGTTCCCGTTTCCTTAATGTTGGCAAACTTACTTTGTGATGTGGTGTTCTTAAATGGAGAGATCTTGAGCTTGCCATTATGGCTTTTCAAATGTGTGCTGGTTTTAAATCTCCACTTTCCATAATTGAGAATCACCTGGTTGGGGAAATTACCCAGATTAGATTGGTCCATGGGCACATCTGTGTGGGTTGTCTTGATTGTTAGTCGATGCAGGAGGGCTCAGCCCACTGGGGCAGCAGCGTCTCTGGGCAGCAGACTTCATAAGGAACCAGTCTAAGCATGAGTCTGGGAGCAAGCCAGCAAGCAGTGGTTTCTGCGTGGTTCCTGTTATATGTCCTTGGCTGTGAGTGAGCTCCCTGGCGGGAGACAATGCTGTGTAGAGTAACAGTGAATCCTTGTGTTCCGCTTGTGACCTCGAAGGGTAAGCCAAATAAACCTTTTCTCTGAAGTTCCATGGGTCACAATGACTGCCAAGAGACAGAAATGAATCTAGGATGGCAAGAGAACACACCATGCCACCGCCAACAGACAAGGTAAGATGCAGAATTCCAGTTGATTCTAGTAACCTCCCATCTGACTGGCCTGTGAGATATTTTTAATGTCCCCCCCCCCATTGTACTCCTTTGTCCTCAAAGAGCTTTTTCAGGCCTTCCTAACTATCGCTTATAACAACAGAACAGGCATATTTGGTGTTTGTGTGTTTGCATCTCTCATGTGTGCACACAAAAAAAATGAGAGCCTCTTACCTTGCCCTCAAAGCATTCTTCACTCTTGGCACAACCTTGCCCCAGCTGGGAAAGGTTGGCCTAGATCAGGGGTTCCTGGGCACCGAAACAGGGTCCATGGGGAATTGTTTTTAGCATTCCAATAGCTCCCAAAGTGTGCTTAGTGTCACCCCCATGAGTGTTTGCTCCAGTGTCCCCCATGTCCTGACATCTATGAAAGTGTTGGATAAGCTGTGAGGTTTCCTGCCAAAGCCAAATCCAGGTGATATTATTCCCTAAAGATTTGTTCCCCTGAAATATCGGCTCCTGGACTGTGGGGGAAGCTGCGACCCGCCCCTGGGAGCAGTCCCTTCGGTCAGGGAAGAGTCTGTCACTGTTGGTGTGGTTAAAAAGGCAAACGAGGGACAGAACTATTTTGTAAAGTTTATGGAACTAACAGCCCTTCCTGAATTAAGAAGGTCTATCCAGAGGAGGCTGGGATTTGGACAGAGGGTGCTCAAGGGATGAGCTTTCTAAGGTGAAGTCAAGTAAAGGCAAGGTGTGCTTGCTCTGTGTGGGTCTTGTTCTATCTTCTGAAGAGTCCCTGCTTCACAATTCCAAGTCTATTGACCTCTCTGAGTGACTGATTCCACCCTACTTGCTTAAATACCGTCATGAACATGAACGATTTGATTATTGCTTCCATCTGCAATCAAGGAAGCTTTGGGTCCCCCATGAAGCCTTGCTGACTGTTACAGTTTGTAATATGGAATGTCCCAAGAGGTTCATAAGTTCTTGATTGGCAGCGGATGGGCTTTGAGAAGGTGGGTGGGTCCTGAGGACCTAATCAGTAGACATCCGCTCACAGACTCACCGTATGAGAAGAACCTGAAAAAATAGAAGGCGGGGTCTAGTCAGAGGAAGTAGCTCACTGGGCATGTGTATTCTGCCTCGTCACTTCCTGCGTTTGTTTGATTCTGATTCTTGTCTGTCGTTAGGTAAACAGGCTCTGCCGCATGTTTTTGATGTCATGGTATTCTGCCTCACCACAGATCCAGAGTGAGTAGAGGTAGGCAGTACAGACCTAATCCCCTGGAACCATGAGCCAAGGCAAATGATTTCTCTCAGTTGTGTGTCTGAGAGACAGAGCTTGATAGCACTCTGGATTTGTTCGCTTGCCATTTGTTGTAGGCTCAGCCTCATTTTAATTTCCCCAGACACCAGTGGATTAGGGCTCCGTGCTGCCTCAGAAAATGATCAAATCCAATGACTTCATCAACATTTATTACCAGGGTTTCCACAAGTCGTGTATGGATGAGGCCTCCTGAGTTCTCTGTTCAGAGGCTCCTAAGCTGCGGTCAAGGTGTCATCTGGGCCATCCATCCCACCTGAACAGGGTCCTCCTTCAGGCTCAGCGATAGTGGGCAGAGTAATGGCAGGTCGGAGGTTCCCAGCTCCAGGACTCCTACTTTTCTGTTGATATGGGGCTCTCTCCCACAGGCAGCTCCTGCCACGGAAGGGGAGTTTCAAGGACAGCAAACATGTATCTGATGCTGCCGCAGGATGGGGTCTGTCCCTCTTTAAGGTGACAGGAGAACATTCACCAAGGTGCAGTCATCACTTAAGAAGACCATCTTAGAATTCAGAAATTGTGTGTCTGTCATTTTCTTAGCCATTGATATCTCTGTCTCTCTCAGCCACTGATGTCTCTCTCTCTCTCTCTCTCTCTCTCTCTCTCTCTCTCTCTCTCACACACACACACACACACACACACACACACACACACACACACACACACAGTCATTGCTTGTCTTTATCTCTTGGGCTGAAGATCAACTTCAGTTCCTCCGAGACAGTCTTCCTAGCAAGGTGCTTCTGGACATTTCAGAGAACCCTCATTGGGCCAGGGGGCCAAGCATAACGGCTAATGACAACCCACAGGTGAGGTCCATTGTTGAAAGGGCAATAGTGGTTAATGACAACCCACAGGTGAGGTTCATTGTTGAAAGGGCAAAACAGGCTCAAGATTAAAGGGCTTGTCAAAGTTCCAGATCGTGTGTCAGCAGCAGCGAAGCCAGGGGACATCCCTTTATTTCTCTGTGCTTTCTTTACTTGGTTTGAAATTATCCACATCATAGGTTGCTGTGGTGACTTAAAGAGTGGTACCTGGTACACATCCGGCACACAGCACATGTCAGCGGCAGTAACAAGTGTTGACATCTTCAATGAATGTCATGCATACTGCTTGTGAGAGTACATGCTCAGCTAGCTCCCATTTGCCCATGATGACCTGTGACTCAGCACGCATCTCCTGGTACATACCTCTGTGGTCAATTGGAGTTATTCATATAAGAGTTCTCTCCCAGGGCTCCATATCACTGGAAAGTCTTCATGCGACCCAGTGGATGCTACAGGTTGGTCATTAGCTCTAGAGTGTGAAGGAAGTTAAGTGAAGATGAGTCAGTTTATCATAGCATCTCTAGCTGGGGTCTCACAGGGCATCTTCCTTCTGGTGACTGCTCGTTTGGCCCACCTGATTCCAAGTTTAACAAGTTTCCAGCTCCCAAAGCACATACTGGTACGCAGTCAGTCCCTGGTGATGATGGTTGTGGGACCTGTTGTAGGAACCCCACTTAATACTAGCCATGATAGACCAGCATCTGCTGGAGGATGGAAGCATGACCTAGCCATGATAGATCGGCATCTGCTGGAGGATGGAAGCATGACCTAGCCGTGGTAGACAGGATCTGCTGGAGGATGGAAGCATGACCTAGGGATGGTAGACTGGATCTGCTGGAGGATGGAAGCATGGCCTAGCCGTGGTAGACAGGATCTGCTGGAGGATGGAAGCATGACCTAGCCATTGTAGACTGGATTTGCTGGAGGATGGAAGCATGACCTAGCCATGGTAGACTGGATCTACTGGGGGATGGAAACATGAAGTTCAAGTGCCTAGGCTCTACTGCCTCTCAGAAGTGTACAAGTGCCTCTCAGAAGTGGGCTGCTGTGAGGTGACATCTGAGCATAACATTAATGTGCCCACTAACCCCAACAATACGACTATCCACACAGGAGGAAGGGGGAGGTGTTATGGGACAATGGTCTTGTACCCTGTAAAGATTTGTCACTTGTATTGGATTAATAAAATACTGATTGGCCAGTAGCTAGGCAGGAAGTATAGGCAGGGCAACCAGAAGAGGAAAATTCTGGGAAGAGGAAAAGCTCAGTCTGCAGTCATCACCCAGATACAGAGAAAGCAAGATGAGAATGCCTCACTGATAAAGGTACCAAGCCACATGGCTAACACAGACAAGAATTATGGGTTAATGTAAGATGTAAGAGTTAGTTAATAAGAAGCCTGAGCTAATAGGACAACTAGTTTATAATTAATGTAGGTCTCTGTGTGTTTCTTTGGGACTGAATGACTGTGGGACTGGGTGGGACAGAAACTTCTGTTAATACACAGGACCACATCATTTATCATTCTAGCCTGACAGGGGAAGGACACACAAGGTCTTAACCACTACTTAGGGACCTATTCTCAATTGATGGTTGCTGAGGCAGATTTGGTTTTTCTTAGGGACAGCCTCCCTGACTGACGTTGCCCAAGTATTCAGCCCTATGCCCAAGTCCATCTGGGCCTTTTGAGCTGAGGACATTTATTCATTTCCCACAGTTGGAGAGTTTCTTAATGCATTCACCAGACAGTGGGTCCTTAGGTTCTCAGCATGAACACTGCTCTTTTATTATAATAGATGCTGAAGAGAGCAAGCTCTCCGTGAACTCTGGGTAAGTTTTCAAAATGACAAAACACCAAAATTAGTAGCACAAACCTCAGTTTCTATCAGAAATTGTCATTATGTGCTTTCCTCAGACTTTTTTCCAAAATGACCAAACTTGGATGCTCACATCAAAGTTCTGCCTGTCACTTAGGCTTGTGTTTCAGCTGTGACAATATCCTGAGGACCTACCATGTACCGGTCACTTTTTCTAAGGATGCAGATTAGGAAACAGAACATTTGTGCTTGCTGTCTTCATTAGGAACCTTACAATTTGATGGAGAAATGTGTATTTAAAAGTCCCCATATACCTTTTAAGTATATGTTTTGGATAATTTCTATTTCTTTCCATGGTATCTGGGCTCTCTGTCCAGCAACCACTTCAGCATATCTTTGACTACCATATGACCACGTGTGACAGTGGGGGAGACGGTATCAGCACACTGTCAGTGCCTGCGGGATCATTCCCTAAGCGTTCAGCTATTGTTCTGATTCCTTTAGACCTAAATCTGTGTAAGACGTATACTCTATATTTTTAGAATCTAGTGTATTTATTTTTTATTTATTTTAGTATTGATTTATTTGTCTATTGAGGAGTGTGTTATATATGTATGTGTGTAGGCACATATATGCTTGTACTATGGCACATGTGTGGTGGTCAGAGACAACTTGTAGGATTAAGTTTTCTTCTTCTACAATGTGGGCCCTGGGAATTGAACTCATGTCAGGCTTTGGAGCAGTTGCCTTGACTCACTCAGCCATCTTGCTACTCCTATTAGTATTTATTCATAATTAAGTTATTAATAATGAATGATTTACCTAAGCTCTCAAAATGCTAAATGCAATGTCCATATTTAATCATGATACAGTATAAACTCTTTTTCAATAATTTGAGGGAAAGTAGAAACCAAGATTTAAGATTTTTTAATATATTTTAAAATATTTTATATATTTCTAAAAATATAAGAAACTCATAAAACTCAATAGTAAGAAGGACTTAAATATGATTTTTTCTACAGAAGGCAAAATAGGTAGCAAATAGAGGAGAGA